TAAACACAAGGAAGAACATGATATGCGGTTTTATTACTGTATTACTGTAATTTGCTCCAAAATTGGCGGGCCTACAGCTTTGCTGGCGGGCCTGCAGCTTTTAGGAGCTATAGGCCCTGCAGGCCTACAGCTTTTTCTGCTCAGTGGCAAACACTGGCTGCAAGTACAGGGCTATAGGCGGCGCACTGCATTTTGGGAAACTACCACGCTGCTTTCCAACTCCCGTACGAGCCTCGTCAAAGCCGCCAGTAGAGCATTGCACAAACGTTGCAGCGCAAAAATGAGGTCACGAAGAGCGGCGGTGGGTGTTTCCTGATTCCGACAGCCATTTACATAAACTGCGCAACGAGAGCGAACGCGAAAATTTCGCCAAGCTTTGTGTGATTTCGCGTGACACAGCTCGGTTACGAACACAAACGGTTACATTCGAAACCGAGCTGACAATGTCCTATAGCCCTGCGGCAGCTATCCGCGGGCTATAGTACTAATCTAGAGCTAGGGTGGCGCCTACTCCCTTCTACGCACTCCTACGGCACTCGTGCCGGGTGCAAATCCACTTTAGGCACCTTAACTAAGTGATACCTAAGCCTTAAGGTGCCTAAAGTGGATTTGCACCCTCGTGCCGTGCGCCTGCGGCATGCAACATGAACAGCGCATGCGCAACAACTGCTCGGACGATTAGCGCATACGAACAGGTGTCCGATACTCGGACGAATATCCACGTTGAAATACTAAATAGATTTCGTATTTATTTAGCATTATAATTTATATTTTATTGAAACGCTCCAAGTGCCTGTGGGCCCTCGCAGCTCGCTTTACCGTTTTACTTTTAGTTTTACTTTTAGTGTTTACAATTACATCATGATGATTATATGGCTACATAACAATTTTAACATAAATCATTAAATGATAAACACGTTGTGAACCGTTGACGTTGTCGTTGACTCTGATAGTTTTCGTCATTACTGCCATTACTCGCATTAGTTAGTCTCGCGGCCTGTTCGGGCTAACGGTACCTAACAAAAGTACTTACATGGACTGTAAATAAAATTAGAGAATGCAAAATTTCTGATAATTTATATAAGATATATAATAAGTTTATTATAACCGGCGTATATTAGCAGCGTTTACCCAGAGCATATAAATCATAAAATAAAGTTGATTTATATGCTCTGCCTCTGGTTTACCTTTCGTTTCTGTTACGATTACAAACAAGAGGCTCGGGCTGAGAATGTCATAAAGATTTATGTATAAATAAAAAAATACTAAATCGGCCACAAATTCATGGGGAAAATGGTCCATGGATGAGTTACTATCTAGAAATTTGGCTGTTCACAAAGAATTTATGAATCTAAAATTAGAATTATACGTGTAATGCTATAATCATGCGCTTTAGAAACTCTTTGTGGCAGGTTATGTATAAATGGACGTAATAAACGGCATTGTTTAGATTTTCGGTTAGTTGTGCCTGGCACCTACGTTAGGAGGAGGATTGTTCTCTCTGGCTAGGCCTAAGGAATGGTAAACAGTCGATACATTATTTTTATCGATGTATATATAACTTATCTAGTCGTGTAATCTCAATGTGGTCTATGGCATCTTTGTGGTTATTTATCCCTGACTCAAAAGGGCAACTCAAAAGGAAGTCACAATCGTCCCGGCATTGTCGTCACTCCCACTGGTCCCTTGCCTTATTAAAGGCTCACAATGCGCATCCAAACGCTAATTTCTCCAGTACTAGACTAGCAAATACTTCGTGTCATGCATAA